ATATATATATATATATATATATATATATATATATATATATATATATATATATATATATATATGTCTGTGTTGATGGTCTTTGTTTGTTTTTTATTTATTTTATTTTATTTATTTTATTTATTTTATTTTATTTGTGTTATTTATTTTATTTTATTTATTTTGTCTATTTTATTTTATTTATTTTCTTTGCAGCTGACATCGTTGCTTGAGGGGGTCCTCAGCAGCGGCCCCAGCCCGCAGCGGGAACGAAGCGGCTCCACCTCATCGGAGTGCAGCTTGGACTCAGACTTCGCCTGAAACCCTTGCTGCTGCTGCTGCTGCTGCTGCTGCTGCTGTTGATCCTGCTGCTGCTGCTGCTGTTGTTGTTGATCCTGCTGCTGCTGCTGATCCTGCTGCTGCTGCTGCTGCTGCAAAAGCAAACAAACAAAATCCTCCTTCCCTTGAGATGAAGACAGCGACAGAAAGGAGCTGTTTTGTCCTTCTGTTTCTTTCTGTCTCCTTCTGTTTTTATCCTTTTTCTGTCTCCGTATCCTTCTCTCTCTCTCTTTATTTATTTTTCTGTCTCCCCCTTCTGCTGCCTCCTTTTTTCCGTCTCCCTCTTCTGCCGTCATACCCCCCCTCAGCTCCGGTCACCCAGCCGCTGTTGCTGTAGCTAGCTGTATCAACAGCTAGCTGCGGCAACAGCTAGCTGCAGCAACAGCTAGATGCGGTAACAGCTAGCTGCAGCAACTGCTAGCTGCAGCAACAGCTAGCTGCGGCAACAGCTAGCTGCAGCAACAGCTAGCTGCAGCAGCAGCTAGCTGCAGCAGCAGCTAGCTGCAGCAGCAGCTAGCTACAGTGTGTTTGCTTTAGGTTTGGGCTTTTTCTCCTTTTTATTCGTTGCCATCCGAACGGCGGCCTTGCGGACCGAAAGTTTCATTTTAAGGGTTTAATTTTACTGCTGCTGCTGCTGCTGCTCATGCAGCTGTTGCTGCTGCTGTTGCAGCAGCAGCTGCTGCTGCTGCTGCTCNCTGCTGCTGCTCATGCAGCTGTTGCTGCTGCTGTTGCAGCAGCAGCTGCTGCTGCTGCTGCTCATGCAGCCGTTGCTGCTGCTGTTGTGGCAGCAGCTGCTGCTGCTGTCAGCCTGCTGTGTATGTACACCCAAACTGAATTCCTCCTCTCTGCTTCAGCATACGTGTTGCGGAGCTGTTGCCCGTGAGGCCGTTATTTTCTGCTACCTGCTGCTGTTGCTGCTGCTGCTGCTGCTGCCGTTGCTGCTGCTGTTGCTGCTGCTGCTGCTGCCTTGGGCGCTGACTGACAGTAGCTGCGGGGCCCAAGGGGGGGGGGAGAGAGAGGCAAGGAAGCCCCTCGAGCTGTCGTGTATAATGAGTTAGTGCTTATAACAATTTGTTTATTGATGATAAATTATTTATTATATTTATTTATTTATTTTATATATTGTGGTTTATTTATTATATTTATCTGTGCGGTGTAGCTGTTTATGTTTTACTATTCAACTACCCTATATTGTCTACTGGTTGTTATTGTTTATTAAATTACTATTACTCAATGTTTATTTATTTGTATTTGTTGTAGCCGTATCAATACACTAAACCCTAAACCCTAAACCCTAAACCCTAAACCCTAAACCCTCGGTAGAAGAGAAGGCGTCAGCGGGTTGTTGTTGCCGCGTTGGGGCTTTGGGTCCGTGCATGCGGAGGAGAGAGCGGTATTTATTGGTTTTGTTTGTCAGTTTTTGTTGGCTTTTATGAATTAAATGAATTAAAAAATGTAAAAATATTTATTTTATTATATTTTTATTATTTTATTTTGCTGCTTTCTCTTCCTATTGCTGCACAGACTGTCGCGGGCGGCCTTACTGGGGCTGCTCTGCGGTGTTACCGGCTCCGCCGTTGTTTCTTCTTTTGTTTGTTTTTCGGTTTGTTTTTGCATTTATTTATTTATTTTATTTTGTTATTATTGTCCCTTTATTTGAATATATCTCAGAACCCGTCATCAGCATCAGCAGCAGCAACAGCTGCAGCTGCAGCAGCAGCAGCAGCAGTAGCAGCAACTAAACTCCCTCCGCATGGCCTGCTGCAGCTGCTGCAGCAGCGAGACAAGCGCAGCATCTCCTCCAGCAGCAGCACCAACTTAATTATATTCTTCTATTTTATTTTCTGTATTCCTTCCTCTGAGGGTCTTCAGTGTTTCTGTGTGCTTGTCTGTGTATACCTTGTGGGTGTTTTTTCACTGCTGCAGCTGCAGCAGCAGCTGCAGCAGCAACACCAACAGTTAATTCAACAGCAGCATCATCATCAGCACCAGTACCACCACCACCACCACCACCACCACCAGCAGTAGCAGCAGCAGCAGCAGCAGGAGGAGGAGGATAGCCAGCAGCAAGAATGTATAACAACATTGGGCTCCCTACCCCTCGGGGTAGCGGCACGAACGGGTATGTGCAGCGGAGCCTGGCTTACCTGCGGCCGAGACGCACAGACATGCCTGGGCTGAACCAGCTGGGTACGAAGCCTATACAGCAGCCGCAGATACGGCGCGCGGACCCGGCGCTGCTGCTGCACGAGCAGCTGCGTCGCGTTGAGCTGCGTTTACTAGAAGAGAGAAACAAGCTGCAGCAGCAGGGTTTATCTGCTGCTCGTATAGATAAAACAATAGAAATTATGCGGCAGCAACTAACAAGAGAAGCACATGTAGAGAAACAAAGACTAGGAGATAAAACAGGAACACAAGAAGGTATATTTGGCCGCAGCCTGCTGCAGCTTTCTCATGGCTTAGATACACACGAAGGAGCAGCATGGAAGCAAAGACAGCTGGATCAGGTTGCTGCTGCTCTTGGTATCAGCAGCAACCACAAGGTTGGCGAGGCCTTTGACTTTAAAAAACAAAAAGAAATAAAAATACAAAAACAAAAAGCCTGGGAGGAAAGAAAAAAACAAATCATAGAAGAAAGAAAAGCAGCCATTCAGCAAATCAGAGAAAAAAGAAAACAACAAAAACGAGCAGCCAAAAAAATGCAAAAAAAAAGAAATACGCGCAAGTCCTCCAGCAGCAGCAGCAGCAGCAGCAGCAGCAGCAGCAGCAGCAGCAGTAGCAGTAGTAGCAGCAGCAGCAGCAGCGACAGCGACAGCGACAGCAGCAGCAGCAGCAGCAGCAGCAGCAGCGATGACAGCGATGATGAGCGGAAGAAGCGGGGAGGCCGAGTAAAGGTGAAAGTAAAGGGAGAGGAGAATGAGTCAAAGGCAGCAGCAGCAGCAGCAGCAGCAAGTGCAGCAGCAGCAGCAGCAGCAGCAGCAGCAACAGCCCGGAGAGATGCACCATCTCTGCGTGCTGTTGCAGCAGAAGCTGCGAGGATTGCGCGGGGAGAGACAAAGAGAGAAAGAAGCGAAGAAGCAGCAGAAAGAATAAGGAGAAGAGAGACAGAAGAAGAGACAGATACACACAGCCCCCTCTTATCTGAGGAGGAGGCAGAGGAGACAGCAGCAAGGCGACGCAGCAGCAGCAACGGCAGACGCAGCATCAGCCGCAGCCGCAGCAGCAGCAGCAGCAGAAGGGGCCGCAGGCAGCAGGAGAGAAGGCCCAGGGAGATAACAGAGACAGCAAGAGGAGGAGATAGAGACAGATACACTGAACCAGCAGCAGCAACAGCAGCAGCAGCAGCAGCAGCAGCAAGAAGGTTTAGAGAAACAGCAGAAGATGAAAGAGAAGAAAGGAGAAAAAGACAAAGACAAGAAGAGGAGACAGACAGAGACAGACAAAGACACAGCGGCGAGGCGATGAGCTCAGCATACACCCCAAAAGAAGAAGAAACAAGCAGAAATAGAAACAGAGACAGAGAAGGAGACAGAGAAAGAGAGAGGGATAGAGACAGAGAAAGAGAAAGAGATAGAGGAGACAGAGAAGGAGACAGAGGAGACAGAGAAAGGGGAGACAGAGAAAGAGAGAGAGATAGAGACAGAGAGAGAGAAGACAGACACAGAGACAGAGAGAGAGAAGACAGAGACAGAAGAGGAGACAGAGAGAGAGACAGAGAGAGAGAAAGAGAGAGAGACAGAGAGAGAGACAGAGAGAGAGACAGAGAGAGAGACAGAGAGGGGGGAGAGTTGCTGCAGGAGAGAGGGAGAGTGAGAGCAGACGAAGACAGAGACAGAAGAGAAGATAAAGACAGAGACAGAACAATAAGAGACAGAGAGAGGGGAGACAGAGATAGAGGAGACAGAGATAGAGGAGGAGACAGAGACAGAGATAGAGAAGACAGAGGGGGAGACAGAGACAGAAGAGAAGACAAAGACAGAGACAGGGAAAGAGGAGACAGAGACAGAGACAGAGGAGACAGAGAGAGGAGAGAAACGCGAGATAAAGACAGAGAGACACGAGAAGATAGAGACAGACACAGAGAAGGAGACAGAGACAGAGACAGAGACAGAGAGAGAGGAGACAGAGACAGAGACAGAGAGAGAGAGAGGGGAGAGAGAGAGAGAGACGGAGGAGACAGAGATAGAGGAGACAGAGAGAGAGGGAGGGGCTGAGACAACCAACAGGAAGAGAGGAAAAGACAAAAGAAAGCCTCGCGATAGCTTGCTGCCGCAACAGCAAGCGAAAACATACAACAGCTGCAGCAGCAGCAGCAGCAGCAGCAGTTGCAGCAGCAGCAGCAGCAGCAGCAGTTGCAGCAGCAGCAGTTGCAGCAACAGGAGCAGCGGCAGCTGCTGCAGCAGCAGATGCAGCAGCAACAGGAGCAGCGGCAGCAGCTGCAGCAAGACTCTCTGTTGCATCTGCTGTGGAGAAAGGGTCGCTGGGTTTGTCTGTGTTGCTGAGGTGTATGTACACCGCAGCAACAGAATATAGACGCCTCGGCCTTTGTTCTCTTTTGGCTTTGTCACTTTTGTTTGTTTTTTCTTTAGTTAAACTATTATCCATTTACTTATTTATTTAATTGTTTATTTATTTATTTTTTTTTTTTTTGTTTGCTCTTTATTTATTTTTCTCCCTCATATAGATAGATAGAGATACAGAGATAGAGAGACAGCGAGACAGAGACAGAAACGGAGACAGAGAAAGAAAGACAGAGATACAAACCAACAAACATACACAGACAGAGAGAAAGACAGAGAAAGACAGAGAAAGCTAACCAGAGAGACTGTCTCTCTGTCTCTGTATCAATCTGCTGCTGCATGCAGCAGGGCCCCAAAGACCCCCTGAGTCCCCCGGTGTCTGTTTTGCTGTTGCTGTTGCGGTGTTCCCGGCCGTCGGTGCTGTCAGCAGCAGCAGCAGCAGCAGCAGCAGCAGCAGCAGCAGCAGCAGCTGCTGCTGCTGCTGCTG